CAGAGCAGTTACGTGCCAGTCCGGTAGTACGGTAAAACACATTCGCGAAATCAGGACGAGATCCCCAGCTCCTGCATCTGAAGCTCGTTTCCCAGCATCCACCTTCCACTTGGATGCCACGGGTTCTGAGGGAGCTTGTTCCCTGGAATATCTCAGGTCTGAGGTCATTGAACTCTCCGGGAAAACAAACACACCAGACACTGCACTCATTCAAAAAGCTCTGATTTCTGCTAAAAAAAAAAAAAGCCAGAATCACCCACAGAAAGTACCAGGTCAACACCGCCCAGACGAAACCAGTGGACACACACCCACAGACCGAGGGATGACACCCGTTCTGACGGTATCTTTATCTCGACTGAAAAGGCTTAAATTATATTCCACTTATAATTCCAAAATTTAAGGCTGCTTTCTCTGAAACCAAACTTTGACAACAAATTCAAAATATTTTGATACCTACACCTAAAATCACCTGGCAGACAATTCCGTTACACGTTGCTACCAGGAGACAAATTAGTACCGAGTTTGAGAATTTGCAGGTTATGGTTTAAATGCACAGATCGGCAGACAAGTCTAGAAATGAGAAAAATCTCTTACTAACACACCTCCGTACTGGCCTCACCTCACTGCCGGCCCTCTTTTAAAAAGTGAAGAATTTGTATTTGTTAAAGAGCTGGTTATTGTTCCCTAATTACCATTTCACCTTAAGATTACCTCGTAAGCAGTAAATACCCTCTCCGTGAAACTAAACACAGTTTTATAACAAAACAAGAAGGCTTGTGCATTACACACCTTTGGTAGAATATCTGTCTTAAAAATTAAATAAAACTATTTTTAGAAAACTGCTCTTACACATTAAACTTCCAAGGAAATTAAAAAAAAGAAAAAAAGAGGAGGAAAAAAACCACACATATATACAAAGACATAAAAGAGTGTTTCTTACCCTACTGGAAAGTACTGGGAACGCGAGGAAGTGCTGATCTATCTTTAGCAAGGGCTTAGCTGAGCAAATACAGAGCACGCACCACCCATCTACCCGCTAGGCGTTCCCTGGGCTTGAATCATGGACCAAGATGCTGCGTCATCTCTCATCCAGAATTCTTTTCTTGACCTTCCCGCATGAATCACCTTTAGCACACTCAACAGGCACGTCCTCCGCAGGGCACGTGCCCTGTGACAGAAGGAGTTCAAAGCTGAGCACAGAACTCGGCTTTCCTGACACTCCTCACTTAGCCCAATGGATTTATTCTGGAGCTTTAAAGAAAAATCACAGAACGTGACCAGATGAGTTTTCAAGGAGAAAGGTACAAACTAAACTCGTGAGGAGACTGACGGACTTTACTAAAACCAGGCCTGTGATGTAAGAGCACTTCAGTTGTTCACTCTGAAGGGGAAAGTTACGGCAAAGCAAAGCGTTGAAAAGATAGATAAAACATTCCATAACTGAACTTATTCAACTTCGCAGGGCTAAATATTTTTAAATCTACTTTTCAACTTAACACTTAATGTAGTTACCAAAAAAAAAAAGTTCAGAACCTGCACATCACATGGACAAATGATAACACAGTCTCCTACTGTACGGCACTTACTATACGACAAGCATTCTCCTAAGCACTTCGCACACACTCACTCCATCCTTACAACCCTTTTCTAATCCCTGTTTTCCATGAGGAATAAAATGCACAGAAAGGTACGGTAACTTGCCCCGGGTCACACCCACAGCCGGTAAACGGCAGAGCTGGGATTCCAACAGGCGGTCAGGCGCGAACTGGGGTGGTTACTACACCAACCACCTTTCCCAAGGAGTTTAACATAGATGATCCTTTTTTTAAACAATTTTTAAGTTTACTAAAACTGCACAAGTTCATTTTACAGGGTAAGAAGCCTCCCAATTAAAGAATCTAAACTAGAGCAGTTACTGTGAGGTGGTGGCACAGCCAAAGTTTACCGGTCATGACAAACACCCACACAGAAGTACTGGGGGCTCACTTTTGTGAGCTAAATGTTTAGAGTCTGGAGAAATTAACACAGCTGGAGAAGGGCAGGGAAGATGATGACCGCCGGGAAGCTCCAAAGCTCGGGAGGCATAAGAGAAAACCCCAGGGCTGTAGTACCAACACCAGACTCCTGCCACTCCAGACATCACAACTCCTGCCAATTCTCCTCAATCCCTTCCTTCACGAAGGGCGCCTCCTCCCCGTCCCACTGCTACTGTTCACATTCAGGCCTTCAACAAACCTTGGTCCAGTTATTCTAACAATCTCTTATGAGGCTTCCAGTCACCACCTCCTCCCTACCACAGCACCTCATCTCTCCTCCGCTAAGAGAGTAGTCTTTCTGAGACACAAACCCATCTGATCATGCTATGCCTCTACTTAACAACTCTTCAATGGTCCCTCAAGCCAACAATTTCCAGTTCCACCATCTTTGTATAGAATCAAAAGCTGTCCACCCCAGGATTTCCCCTGCCTCCCTCTGTTGGCAGGCCCAAGAAAATACTCGGCTAGGTCATTCCTCTCTTGTCCAGTTCACACCACCGCTCTGCTGAAAAAATCTGCCTTCCCAACTCCTATTCATCAACTTGCAGAACAACTCTCCATTCATCTCTTTTTCCATGAAGTTGTTCCAATCCCTCCGCCCACCAAGAGAACAGATAACTTTCTACTTTGTGTCCTCAGGGTACCACGTATATATGATTCTATTATACAGTTAGTACCTAATTTTTTACACACCTGACTCCTCTACTGTGATATAAGCCCCATTAAAGAACAGGGACAGTGTGTTGCCATTTTATCAACAGCACCTAACTGGTTCAGACACACAGTAGGAGCTTTCATCATTATTGCCTAATGAATAAACGCATATCTTCCACAGGCCTGTGTAGCCTTTCTCTCAACAAAAGTTTTCAATTCAGTCTGTTGGTTCCCTCCAGCCCCATGAGGACATAGTTTCAAATTTGTTTAATGGAAGGCATTCTAGAAGGATATGGTCTACTTTATCGTCAACTTTCAGAACACCTACAAAGTGAGGAATATGTGTTGAAGAGTAGAATTCACAAACAATGCTCTATAGAACAATCCTGGAGGTTCTCCGTGGGTGTTAGAGATAGGGTCAGAGAGTCTGTGATCAAATAAATTCAGAAAATGTCTCATGATGTCTCCTTCTATGAAGAGTCAAGTCATACTATCATATTAAAGGTTCAGTAAAATCCTGAAGTAAAGGAAAGTGGTTAACTTAGGCACTTACTAACTTCGAGCAGGTACTGAATCCTACTTTGCCTCGGTTATCTATTAAATGGAGATAACAGTGTCTACTTCATATGGTTGTTGTAGGGATTGAATGAGATAATAAACATCAAGTGTTTAGAATAATGCTTGGCACACAGTAAGTGCTCAATAAATGCTATCAACGTTTAGTATTTAAACTGGCATTTTCTAAACCTATTTGGCCACAAAGTCTGTTTTCTTGTTTAGAAATTACTAACATTGTACACAACTCACTTTGAGAAACGCTGACATAGAATAAACACTCCACCATGTTAGTCATTTTGGAGATTCATGGTTCCAGACTTTAAGAGAAATATAGGCAATCTGATAGTTTGAATGTCGGACAATTCCTCCGGCTTCTCTGTGGCTGGCAAACATCGAGGTTTCAACTGTCTCGCTTCCTGAGGCTTCAGTATCACCAAATTAAGATAGGAATGGGTGCACTGGGTGAACTAAGAAAACCGCTCTGCAGTGGAAAGAATTCTATTGTAGATAAATCTCGCTGTCTGCATTTTGTGTTCCTAGAAAGCAGTATGTTCACCAGGTTTCTACTTTCACTGCACCGAGGAATCTTGCTATTTAAGAGTAAGACAAAGAATCCACCAGTCTACTTTCTTCCTTTAATAAATCAAAAGATTTAAACTGGGCAAACTTAAAACAGAAGATTCTTAATTCCAGCTTCCTCGAGTACAAACTTGTACAATATTTTGTGTGTGAGCATCTGTATGCATTTTCCTGGGTGAAATATCACAGCTGTCATCAAGGGGTCCACAATGCCTAAAAAGTTTAGGAACCACTAACTGAGTGTTTAAATCAGGCCCCCGTATTATTTAAATACATATTAAAAATCAAACAGTATGAAAGGATATACATAGTAAAAGGTAAGGCTCTCTCCCAACCCTAATCCTTACTCAGAGCCGACCACTGGTAGCAGTTTTTTATATCCTCCCAAAAATAGCTCATGCATGTGTTTGTAAGCGTATATAGTAATATTATACTGCCCCTCCATTATTACACAAATAATATATGATCCACACTACACGGCACCTAGGTGTTTTCATTTGGCAGCCTGTCTTTGAGTTCTATCATATCAACACACAAGTACAGATGATTTATTAATGAACATACCAAAACTTAAGGCATCCCTATGATAGATCCTTAGGTTGTTACCAGGGTCTTGCTATTTACTAATAATGCTGAAAATAGACATCCTTGAAGATGTATCTTTAGGCAAGAAATCCAGCATGGAATTGCTGAATCAAAAAGTATAAAGACTGCTAAGCTGCCCCCACAAGGTTGCCCATTTACAATCTCAACAATACTTATTTCTTACACACTCAATAAAAGATTTTCAGATTTTCTATCTGTTAATCTGACAGGTGAAAAATGATTAACTTGCGTGGCCCATTATGAATAAAAGACCCTCTGATTTAAGATGAGTTATACTTATGAGGACTTAGTGGTGGAAACAAAAGGCAACGCCGAACCTGGAACCATAACAAGAGTTCACCAAGGTCTGGTGGTCAGTGGCTCTCGGGACTGTCGTCTGCAGAGGGGAATTAAAAGGCTTCACCACAGCAGGTCTCTGTCATGTTGACAAACTGCAACAGGCCTAAATAAATGACTGCAAGTTTAGAAAAAAACGTATTTTGCAATCTTTAAGAAACTAAGGGAGTGTGCAAGGAGACCATGACAAACCATTCACAGAAGTCCAGCTTACCCACAAGTTCAACTCACCGTCCAGGAGCCAGTGCTGGCTGCGCCGCATCTCCAGCTCTGACATCATGAGGCGGGTGATCACGTGATCTGGAACCAAGAGACCTTTCTCTATGTACTGCTTTGCCAGATCACCAACTTCTATTAAAAAGACAGGAAAAAGAGACACTCAAAAAAGCTTCAAAAACAACAAAAGCTTACCAACTCTCTTCTGACAGTTTCACCTTCTCTCCGACTCCTCCCTGTTGGTACGGGGGGAAAGATACAGGTAAATGTTTTTAGAGTAATTTTTTAAATTTTGGCTTCAATAATGGTGCCACTGTCTCCTATTTTCCCAAAGAATTACAAAAGCAGCTCTTGAAGATATGCACAGACAGAAAAACAAAAGGAAAATAGAAATCAGGCAAAGAGAAAATAAGAGCAGGAAACAAAGTCAGAGTCTGAAGGAGGATGGTGCACAAACCGCCAGGAAAGCAGTCCTGGGGACCTCCCGGAGGTGACCATCAGTGGTGCTGAGCCTCCTGGCAGTCATGATAACAAGGAAACGGAGTCAACCACCTGGTCCATGGTGTACAGAAGACTAAAGGAAGCTGAGAAGCACAACCATTCCTTAGAGACCAAAGGAAAAAACTTCCACTGGCCTTCTAGAAAAAAGGCTGGGTAATACAAACAACAGGTTTCTTTCTCTTCATGAGCCTCAATACAAGCAGACGGCACCTTGCCGACGCAGTTGTAAAGGGAACTCAGTGTTATTAGTGGAATGCCAAGTTCATAAAAGGATGTGAATTTAAAAATACATATTTTTTTCAGAGAAAAAATGCTTCTATCCTAATTTAAAATAACAATTTCTAATGTGTGGAAATTGTGAGTTGGGCTCAGCAGAACAAATTGTCAGTTTAAATCTGTTAAATTTCTAGGAACTGAATATTTTTTCTAACGAAGACGAAGTCCTCTGCTCTCCAAGGAACTGATAATGAACCAGTAAGAACTACACTCTCTACAGGCCAATTAAGTTTTTATAAAAACATAAAACAGAATTATATTACTGGAAAAAAGCTCAAGAATCATTTTGCTCCCACCTTCACCCTGAATTTAAGGTAGAACCTTTCCTTCCCCAGACAGTCTACACTCCTAACTTCTTCAACACTGAAATGTGGGCTGTGAAGAGCTCTCTATCACCCCATCACCACTACTGGACAACAAGCTCCAAGTCAGGCCCAAGGATGCAGATTCAGTAACAGGCTGCAAGAAAGAGAACACAAAAGACAATCACACTCCTGAATGTGGCTAAACATGAACGGGAACAAAACACGGTCATTCCAGAAGTATTTACTGATGGCACACTATATCACAGGCAGTATTCCACAAATGTAGCAGTGAAGAAGATCGCAGCTTACTGATATTTAAGCAGTATTACTTTTCATAAGAGCAACAGTAACAATCACTAACTGAGTACATACTAGGTCCCAGGCACTGTGCTTTAAGCACATCATACGTCATTTCATTTAACCCTCACAAGATCCTACCTTCAGATAGGAGATAACACCCATATTTTTTATGCCAGCTCTAATGAGAAATAATTCACACACCACAACATTCACCATGTTCAAATGTACAACTCAGGGGTTTTCAATACGTTCTCAATGTTGTGCAACCATCACCACAAACTAATTCCATAACATTTTTATCACCTCCGAGAGAAACTCTGTACCCATTAGCAGTCATCCCCCCATTCCCTCCTCCCTCTTGCCCCTGACAACTACTAATCTGCTTTCTGTCTTCATAGATTTGCCTATTCTGCACATTTCATATAAACAGAATCACACAATATGTGGTATTTTGTGTCTGGTTTCTTTCACTTAGCATAAAGTTTTCAAGGTTCATCCATGTTGTACCATATATCAGTCCTTTATTCATTTTCATGGCTGAATATTATTATTCCATTGCATAGATACACCATATTTTGTTTATACACAACGTGAGTTAACAGGCATTTGGGTTGCTTCCATTTTTTGGCTATTATGAATAATGCTGCAATGAACATTTCATGTGCAAGTTTTGGTGTGAACATATGCTTTCAGTTCTCTTGGGTAATACCAGTATGGTATGTGTTTTTATATCTGAAAAATCACTGTCAGATAGTATGCTTGGAGTATCTGACAAGTTTGGTGCTGTCCTAGTCTGCAGTGGTCAGGCCAGCCCTAGAGCCCTGTTCTTAGAAACTTTGGCTCCCTACAGGGAATCTGCTTAGTTTTTCCCATCCACCAAACTTTAAGGTAAATATAAACAACAAATAAACATCTTCCAAGGTGAGAGACCAAGATGAACTGGCTCCAATTGTCCCATGAAGAAACAGTGAAAGAGTAGGAAATGTCTCATTTGGAAAGAAGACGACCACGAGAAGGATGTGATGACAATTTACCCATAACCTGACACTTGACTCATGGAAAAGGCATTATCTTATTCAATCCCCTGGGTTTAGAAACAGGACTAGTGGTGGGAATTACAAATGGACAGAAAAAGTTGCCTTAGGAAATGTCTGAAGGGAGACTCAAAGAGTGACTAGGAAGGGATGTTGTAGAGGGATTTTGCAAACTGGATTGGGGACTGGACCACATTACTGTTTCACGTCCCTTCAGATGGGGGACCTATGGTATTGGGATACATTTGGATTCACTAATGTAATGAAGAACAATATGCGAAAAGATGCCCCTAAGGCCTCTGAGTATCTGTTAAATGGCTCAATACGTACCTCCCGCTGACCCCCCAGACTTGCCATGTCCAGAATCACACCGTCCCTCCCACCCTGCTCTTGCCTTGGTGTTTCCCGCCTCAGTTAACAACGTGACTCTCCTCAGATGTCACCTAAGATTAAATAGCACTTGTCTTGATTTTCTCGACTTCTCCCATTCTTTATATCTAATTGAGCATGAAGTTCTTGAAATTCTACTTCCACAATGTCTCTTATACCCGAGGCAACCGATCAAAAATAAGAGTGCAGCAGTAACTTGTGAACAAACAAGAGCAAACTATGTGGATGGACGGCTGCAGGACAAGCCACGTCACCAAGAGGAGAGAAGGGCACAGGAACGGCCCTGGACTGCCATGTAATTACCATGAGTGGATGGCTTATCAGAAAGCAGACTAAGAAAGAGGGAGGGAGTGAGACTCCAAAACCTAGTTTACAAAGTCTTCATATAGCAAAGAAGAGACAACTGGCCAAAGAATCAACAGACTGATAAAGATCTCACAGCTAAGATCAAAGTGGGTCCTTCACCAACAGCAATCTTTGACCTGCTACAAAACCCAAAGAGTGCTTTTGGGTTCTTCTGCGCATCCATCAACCAAAAGAATAACTATATTACCTAAACAGTCAATTCTCAATTCTTAGTTTACTTCACTTCTCCGTAGCATTTGAGATGGCTCCTTTGCATAAATACAACAGCTACAGTGATCCTTTTAAAATGCAAGCCAACGTAATCCTCCTGTGACTTCCCATCTCACTGAGAGTACAAGCCGAAGTCCTCACCTGGCTACAAGGCCCTGTGGGATCAGGCCTCGTTCCCCGACCGCATCTTCCACTTCTCTCTTCACTGCCCACTCTATTCCAGCCACACCAGCCTCTTTGCAGTTTCCTGAAGATCGGGCATGTGCCCCCTTCAGGACCTGTGCATTCGCTGTTCCCTCTGCCAGGAACACTCTTTCCCCCAGAGTTGCACATGGATCAAGCCCTCACTTCAATCAGGCCTCTGATTAAGTATTACCTAAACAGGCCTTCTAGCCTGAGTAACACACCACAAGCACACACCCCATCACCCTCTAGTCTCGTCTCCTACTTTGCATTGTTTTCTACTGATGTATTTGTTAACTCGCTTTCTGCCTCCCCAACTAGAATATGATTAGCTCATTGAGAAAAAAGGAAATATTTTGTTCACTGCCATATCTTCAGTGCTTAGAATACAGTCTGGCATGTATTAGATGCTCCATAATGTTGCATGAATGAATGAATGAACACCTTAAAGATGATAGAGAATTTTCCCCCCTGGTAAAAATCAACCTGATTTTCCTGGACAGTTACCACAGAACCATTCTCCCAGATCAAATATGGCAGCCTCGCCAGATATCAACTTTTTCAAGAGAGATATGAGATGAAGTGTGATCAGTACTAGTTGAGATGGCCCTGTTAGGTTTCATAGCTCAGTCTTATATCTTCAGCATTTCAAACCACGGATAGAGATGAACCAGGTCGGTAAGCAAATGAGGAGAAGGAAACACCATGAGCCAATGTCGCAGAGGCACGGGGCTGCCGGGCATACCTGGAGGAACTTCAATGTGACATCTGAAGAAAAGCACACCATGAGAGACAGAGCTGGACAGGTAGAATAAGCAGGATGGACTTTGAAGGATTTAAAAAGAAACAGGTAGTTTTAGAAACGCCATTCCTCCAGCCAAGAGCAGCTACTTAATTTGCAAAGCGCCCAGCACAAAACGAAAATATGGAGCTTCCTTGTTCAAACATTACAAACCTCAAGATGGCAACAGCAGAGCGTTAAACTAAGTGCAGGGCCTTGTGTGAGTACACAGATCGCATGCCCACAGCAACGTGACATTTGGATGGAGTTGGCACGGTGGATGCAAAGGACACTGTGACAACAATCCAAGCATGAGACGAAGGCCTGCACCAAAGCAGAAGCAACCTTAGAAGACCTTCTGCCCCTTGAGAGAGTACCTTGGGCTAACCCAACGCAGACTGTGCAACTCCAAGTTTAAAATAACTCTGTGGAGGATTTCCAGAACCATCTCAACCCAATTTACGAATTAAGAGAAAGATCTAAGTGCAACATACTTTGCTGGCTATTTCTGGCAGCCTTAGCTCTTTCCCGGAGCAGGACAGACAACACGTCCTCTAATCCGATACCAAATCAAACTTCCACCACATCTCTCAGTCCCCACCATGAAAACCCTGAAAGGTCAACAGTCAGAGCAAAATGGACTCAACAAGGCATCTGCATCTGAAGGAAGACCTCACTGTGACAGCAAACTGAAATAAAACATGGGTCAGAAGACAGAGGCCTGTTCCAGAAAACTGGACCTTCATCTGCCCTTGTCAGCATGCTTGGAAGAGAATCAGTATCATTAAA